AATCAGAACTTAAGAAGGGGAGAAAAAAAGTAAGGAGCGTAAAGAAAAAAGACAATAACGAAGAGATTGGTGTAAGGTAGTGTAATAATAGTAGTGGTAATAGTGGGAGAACAGAAAGGTACAATCAGAAATCTTTCAGTTAGGGAAGATACAACAACCTTTTACGAAGAAAGTAAAAGAAGGTTACAGCAGAATCGCCACTGGCTTCTATTCTGAGCCGTATCCGATAACGTCTCTAGCCACTGCGTTGCACAATCTCTTGGACCCTAACCAGGGAGTCGTGAAGGACCAACAGAAGCCAGTCCTTTGCAGCTTTCTTTCATACCACGACACCATGTCATACACTGACCACCTCTCCGCTTCTTCCAACCAGTCCCAGAGTCTGCAAATAATGCACGACGTGGAATTCTCTGGGACGACATTCGGAGAACATGTCCAAGCCACCGAAGTCGGTGTTTCAAGATAGTGACACCAATTGAATTATCATCTCTGTGCCCGAACACACAATGCCGAACCTCTGCATTACTGACATGGTGTTGCCACTGAATTTCAGCAATCCTTCGGAGACAACGATGATCGAACACAGCGAGTCGTCTGACATCCTCAACTCGGAGAGGCCAGGTTTCACAAGCATAGAGCAAAACTGCTCTCACCGACGCGTTGTAGATCCGACCTTTTATGGCCAGACTAACATCACGAAGGCGCCAAAGGTGGCCCAGATTGGCATAAGCCGCTCTGGCTTTCACTATACGTGTATTGATCTCACTACTCAACCCCCACCAGCACTTATGTAGCTACCCAGATACACGAACTTCTCGACTACGTCTATCTGCTCACCATCCAGAGTGAGTACAGGATTGGAATCCTGCCAGTCTTGTAGAAGTATTTTGCACTTCGAAGGTGCAAAGCACATACCATACCTACGGACACTGATTGCCAACTGATTAAGTGCGGATTGCATGCCTTGGGCATTATCGCACAGTAAGACAATATCATCCGCATACTCAAGGTCGAGAAGTCTCTTTCCAGACAACAGATCCACACCGCTATTTCTTACATCCACCAGAGCTGTTTCCAGAATGTCATCGATAGCAAAGTTGAAGAGAAATGGTGAGATTGGGCAACCCTGCCTAACCCCACTGCTCGTACGGAGCACTGGAGAGAGGTGGTTGTATGCCGTCAGTCTGGCTGAGGTGTTTGTATATAAGGCTTTCAGGATGTTATTAAACTTCTCAGGCACACCCTTCTTCAATAGACAATCCCAGAGAACAGTCCTGTCCAACGAATCGAAGGCAGCCCTGATGTCAAGAAACACTACGGTTGTTGGCCTTTGATAAGTATGACGGTGTTCTAACACTTGGCGGAGGGTGAAGATATGATCAATATATCCTGGACCAGAACGAAACCCAGCCTGCTCCTCGCGAGTCAATCTTTCTCGGGTTTTGAACAACCTACGAAGTATGACGGAAGCCAATAGCTTGGACGCAATCGGAAGTAGACTTATCCCCCAATAGTTGTTTCAGGAACGACGTGAACCCTTTTTAAAGATAGGGACAACTATCGACTCATTCCATGACGTTGGTACACTCTCTAGTTCCCAAACCTTTGTAAACAACTTCGTCAGTCCTTTAGTCAGAAAGTCACCACCATCTTTAAAAAGAGCCGGAGGTAAGTCATCTGGGCCAGGTGATTTGTAACGCCTCAAGAGTTGGATTTCCTTGCGGACTTCCTCCTCGTTTGGTGGATCAGTCGTCACCGGCCATGGAGGCCAGGACAGTCTGACCGATGTTGCCGGAGCAGCAGGCCAGTTGAACTGCCCTTCGAAAAATTCTGCCCATCGTCCAAGACGTCGATGGATGTTAGTGATTGGCATCCCATCATCCTCGCAGATTGTTTCACTCACACCAGACTTCTTGCTGCCAGTGGCTCCGGTGAGTTGGAAGAGCTTCCGGTAGTTACCAGATGCAGCTGCTGCTTCCAGCTCATTAGCACGCTCCGACCACCAGGCTTCTCAGTCCTTACGCAAGCTTTGCCCGATTTCCTTACGTAATATCCTTCGTTTATGGTCAAACTCACGGTCACCCGGAGTAGACCGACGGGCTTCAATGAGTTGTAAGGAACCAGAAGAAACCCAGTGCTTATAAGCGGGACGTTTCGCGAACCCACAACTGACTTTACTCGCCAGTTTGATGGCGTCATGCAATTGCAACGAATGCTCATCTATACTTTTCGGTGGAGTGGTAGCTAGCCTAGAGGCTAGCTCGGTTCGATACTTACTGGCAACAGGAGTTGCAATCAACTTAGTGACATCAGTCCGCTTCTGATGATCAGTTCGTTGTCCACTGAAAAGTAAGGTAAGATTGGCGCAGACCAGGGCATGATCAGAGTCCAGATAGGTACTCCAAAAGGAGCGGCAGTCTTGTACACAACCACGCCAGCGGTAGCTGATCGCGATGTGATCAATCTGAGTCCAGGCTTGGGATGCAGAGGGAGGACACCAGGTGGCACATCGGCGATGACTGTGCCGAAAGTTAGTGCTAGCCAGAAACAGGTTGTGGTCTGTGCAGAGTTGCAGTAGACGGTTCCCGTTATCTGACCTGCGACCAACGAGTCCCCATCGGCCACCTAAACGACTCTCTTCTGTGCCTAGACGCCCGACCTGAACATTCAAGTCTCCGGCTAGTACTACAATATCTGTCGAACGCACTTTCTGGAGAAGAACGGTTAACTGGTGATAGAATTCATCCTTGATTGTATCCGGGGTGCAATCTGTCGGGGCATAGGCGGAGATGACAAAAAGACATCGTTTCTCACACCGATTTCTTCTCACTTTGATGTAACTTTCTAACCTAACAGCACATAAGCGACTGTTAACGAGGATCCAATCGATTAGTGCTGCCTCAGCTCTAGCGCTTAGTGCGACATCAACGCCAGCAAGACCAGACGAAGATGTCACAGGGTCCTCGGATAAGCGCACGTAAAACCATCTTTTTGAAGTGACAGATGTAAAGCGAATTTGTAGTACTTCACCAGAGTCTTAAATACGGGTCTCGGATAGACAACAGACATCGATATGAAGACTTTCCAAAGACATAGCCAGCCCTATCTGTTGTCCAACCTGCATAAATGTGCGAACGTTGAAGGCAGCCAGTTTGAATGGTGCATGCGGCTTCAGAAAAACTGCTTCAGTACTCATATTTGGTGGTAACATACAATTTTCAACCGGACAGTGACTCAAGAGCGTTTAGATAGAGTCGAATTTCCACCATAGGCGATCTACTGTATAAGTCGAAAAATAAGGATACATAAAGTGGGAATAAAAAAGAGCAAATAAATGGCGTAGTAAATAACAATAATAATAATGATAACAATAGTATTAATAGTGGTAATTGAATCATTTGAATGTTAGTTGAAGCAAGAGAATTAATTTCCATAGCCATAGACAGTTAAGTTCATTATTTGTATGTTGGCTGCGATAATGCCCGGGTGCCAAAACCGAAGCAGGAGGTTTTCTTAGGAGGCCACAGCACGAGCCTTTGACCTAAAGGTCTAACCCACAAGGCAGTGGAGCATCGTAAGGAGATGCAGTCACATGGTTGCCGGTGACCAACGATTGGTTCATACGCCATTTTTTCCCGCAGGATGCTGGACCTCATGTGCACCATTGGTTTGGAATCCGGTTAAAGCGCTGGACACTCGCTTTTCGTCCTCTTATTTTCGTAAACAACAACCCACCACGCTCTCGGCCATACCAGGGCATTTCAGGGCATCAACCAAAGTACTTGGCGAGGCAACACTAACAATCACTTGTTTAGGGACAAAATATCTGTTCAAATATCAGAAAAGCTCACTCCCAAAATAGCACCAAAAATGCATAAAGAATGGATTAAAATCAATGGCTTTCACAGATGATAAAAGCATTCATGAACGATCATTGGCTTTCTAAATACTACATTCGTTTTCTATAATTAATTATAATTTGAAAAAGTCATAGCGAAAGAGCTTAATTTATATATGTGTAGTGTCAAAAATTTAACGAAAAGTTTAAAATAACTTAACGGATTTCTTCTTCCACTTCAGATATTTAAATAAGCCTCTTGCATTCAGTCGTGTCTATACAGCTAAAGGATGGAAACATTTGTGATACGTTCCAGAAGTGTTTTGGTAAAGGCGGATTAAGAAGTACGTAATTACTGTCCATAAACGGTATAAATGGATCAGTAATTGCAGACGTTCATAGAATAAAGCTGCAGTACTCCTCGTCGACAAATCAACGTCGAAGGAACTGCCATTAGCCATAACAATCAATGTTCATGTTGGTGAATATGGACGTGCAAAAACAATGGATTTATACAAACCAAGAATAGATCGTTTGTTAGAGATGTTGGTGGGGCGGGGGAGATGTGAAGTAAAGAGAGAGTCGAAAATCAAGCATCTTTCCCACTTAACAGAAACTTTTGATTCGTATCGTAGAACGTGATTCGAACAATCAGGTGCTTCATCAAAGTAAGTTCTGCCCGAGAACAATAAAAATTGAATTTGAACTTGGTTAAATGTACACTTATTTACAAAATTGGTGATGCGGATTTATCCACATTACGAAATTGGTCACAAATAATTAACACAATAACAGTAAACGACATTCTCAGAGATCTTCGTCCACAGATTTTAAGAATGGTGCACTTCTTTCGTTATTACTGACACTGAATACGTGAAGGCTTGAGGCTGATACTCTTCATGAAGCATAGAAATCTAATAGAACTAGTTTTATACAAAAATCGAAGGTTTGAGTTCTTTTGCAGAATCAAGAACAAAGTATCAGAAATGATCAAGTATTTAAAAAAAATTACCAATATTCTATTCGCGGTTTGCTTTTTTGCTACTATTTGCATCGTGAATTTGTTTTAACCAATAAAAAGTTGAGTAGCCATACAATGACTTAGCCTATCGCAGGTGGCGGCAAGGCTCACGTATGGTCTTGGCAGTCAACATTTTGTGAAATGCGAGTGTGAGTGTCTGTGAAGAATGAATAATAGCATTTGCAACATAAGCTTCGTTAGGAGTGTTTGAACCGGGATGTAAATTAAACTATGATTACTGTATTCGTAGCACATGCTAAATATAGCTTAAAATCTGACATCTGTGGACAACCTAAGTTCAGACTGCCTGTCCGTCCCATCAAAGTGCTTCGTGCACTAAGTGTCCGCAGTGTGCTTCGAGGCTTTCTATTGTTAGACGTCTTAATGTTGGTCCACGCCAATAGGTCTATGGGTTAATCCAGGTACTCCAGGCAATCAGACAAGTAACAACCTAGTCACCCTACATAGCTTTCAATTTTGCCATGTGACTTGACAACACACAGCACAATACTTTGTCTCTTGTCTTTCCCACTAGTAACTTCGTAACGCTAAGTATTCCGACTATACGGACCATGGTTTGGCAAGCTGACAGTGATTTTCTCCGAACTTGGTGTAATCTACGTTTGTGTTATCATCCTTGTTCTCTGTCCCTGCAGTGGTCATGATCTCATGGTAGAAGTGTGCAATAGGATGATCAACCGCAGCGATATGCAGTTACTACATGCTTTCATCAACCTTAGTACTGACTCAGTCATAGACGTCGTAAAACCTAGTGTGTCTCGATTCGAGTTATCACACTACATCAGCATCGTGAGATAATATTATCATACAAGTCCCAGAGTAGTACAAGTGATAACTTTCAATAGCAATAGAAGAGGTACAAACCAAAAAAGTAGTAAATTTCAGTATTCAGGGTCTGAGGACATGAAGAATAGGCTCGCTTACCATTTCCGACGATTCCTAGCCATGCTACTCAAAGTCTCAACTCGTCGGTTACGACTCGCGAAAATCCCAACATGTTTGTCTATGCCTACTTACATAACTGAGCCCAAAAGTCAGTGACAGGCTGATGCTGTCCTAGTGTGGTCGCTCCCAGCTTTCACCCTACTCATTTAACAAATATCGCTCTCCAAGGTAGGAGGTGGTAGGGCGTATGCAACGGATGTCCAGTTAACTTCGAGCGTTGACAATATGCTACTTCATCATTCCTCTCTGGCATTGCTATTATTTCGAGATACCATTTCACTTTGGTTGTACGACAGTATTTGTGCCAGATCAACATGACAGACTTGCGACTCGGTGATCCGTTTGATCGCTTACTACTTGTAGTTTCCTTTTGCTTTACGTTCGAAAATCGCAGCCATGGTACTAAAAGTTTACGAATTATGTGTGCAACATCTGTTTGTACTCGATCTGGATTCATGTTACATCCCTTGTGACGCATGGCCAACGGTAAGTCAACAGCGATTGACATGGGTCTAAAACTCAAATCTTACCACTGGTCTTGTCTTGGTAGTTCGTGAGTTGGCTTCTCCTCCACGACGATCTCGCATGGTATTGTTTACAATTGCCTATTCCCTTCAAAGTTAATTTTCGACTGTCTTGTTTAATTCCAAATATTCAATCCCTAAAGTTTGGTTAAATACATCCACTTTCGGGTCACCGAAGATGACTACAATTCTTTAACAGTCTGTCGTCAGCTAGTTGATAAATCGTTGACGTTTTGTGGTTTCAAATTCCTCTCACGCTAATCGAAAATGCACTGAAATGGTACGTTCTAGCAACGAGTTCTAAAAGGAGTAGAATCATAGTTTGTTTTTGATTCAGAATAATTTGAATCCTGGTTGTGATCGGCAAAATTTGGATATAGTTATTATTTGATGTTAGGATGCTTCAGGAACAAAGTTAAGACCGACGGAATAAGAATAACATCCAATGAGTTGTTTTTTCCTTGTACGACAGACGAATATTTCAAAACTAACAGTTTATCCTACCTGAGATAACTTGTCAGTTACAGTAATACTTCATCAACAAGTAAAGTTAATTGTTCCATCCCGTTCGCTCTATGGCAATAGGTTACTATTTTAACATTAATTAAAAGTCCCGTTGTAAAATTCTTCCTGTAGCCATCATGAAGTTACCAATAATATTTCCTCGCTCTTCTCTATTTTGCTAGTGTTGTCTAACCAGTGTCGAAACGAAAGTCCTGTTGACTGGACACCGTTCTTCGAGTATGCTTTTTCCTGATACAGGCTAAGAACGCTTATCATGAGTGCATCAACTCATGCTAAAAAATAACCGCTGTTTGGTAATGTCATGGAAATACATGTCATTTAAATTTTAATGGCTGCAAAGTTTAGTTTCAAGTTGCTCTTATCCATTGCGGTCGTCGGCCCCTGTTTAATTAACTACGTAAATTTGTAGGACTTCGGACAAACTGCATACGTTCAAGTAGTGCTAAGCAGAGCTTTATCATAGATATCTTATTGACAGTTAATCATTGCATAGTATTGATACAAAGTGACATGATGATAATCATGAGTGTCTCATGAACTCGTCGGTGTGTTGGTCGTTTCTGAATTAATTATTGTTCTTGTTTTTTAGCGATATGGATCCTGCCTCCATTTTTGAGGATGCACTTAAAGGTCTTGCAACTAAGGATTTCGATAACGGAAATGCTAAACCATGTGACAGTCTACAAACGTCAGTTAATGGTTCTAGTGACTTTCTAAAACCTGAATCTTACATCACGTATCCCGACAGTCCACAATTACCTTCCATACAAAATACTCAGAAGGCTTCAGAAGAAGCTCCTAGTGCTTCTCAAAATGACATCATCCTCAGTGCTCTCATAAATGCTGGGATTGCTCCATCCTCTTTAAAACCTCAAGAAGTTTACTCTAATACTCCTTCAGTTTCAGTTACTGTGAATCCAAACGTCAAAGTTCTCAATGCTCAAGGTACTACCATACTGAGGGTTGTTCCATCAGGAAATGGCAGCAATTCACCAGTTCAGCAAGCATATCCTCCTCGAATGGCTAGTCAGTTGTTAAAGAAGCCGTCTGATAATGGTCTTACAATATCTGGAACTACTCGCATGCCAAATATCATACGGAAAAGGCCTCCTTCACTTGTCGAAACTAGTCAGCCTTTTTCGAAAATCAGACGTGTACTTAACCATGGCCCAGTAGATAAAGACGTTAGCCATCAGATCACAGCATTTTCTGGTATGGGTACTGTCCCAACTAGCTCAAGTAAATGGTATGAGGCTCCTAATGTTTCACGACCATCCTTGCCTCCTCACTGCGTTCGGGTACCTAGTCATACTCAAATGACTCCCAGATCATACCCGTTGATAAAAGTAAGTTCCTAATTTTCGTTCAAATGTCTATTATTATATCTAGAATGTTCTTAGTTCCTGAATTTTTCAATGTTGAATGCGATAACCTGTGTCTCACACTCCTATCCAAGCTTTTGCGTTGCTCGTTCACATCTGTTCTGCAATAGTAAATCGATTCCATCAAGCTTCCTGTTACTACTTATCAGCTTCAAAAGCACCGAGTAATACCGAGACTAGTGTATATGTTAAAGGTTGACATGGACTTCTAGACATTCTTTTATATTCAAATTCAACTGCAACTATCCAACTTCTGTCTAATTCAATGCTAACTGAATACTAAGGGCCTTTGATCTAGACACTCGGAGATGAGAATAGATGCACTGCTTTCGCTTCTTGTAGTGTCGTTTCTCATATATAATTCATTGAACAGGATTGTGTTCTGCGTTATTCGTTAGAATGATATGTTTTCAAAGTTTACTAGCAACTTGAAAGCTTTGTACACAAACACCTCACCCAGGGCGAGAGCACATAACCGCCTATCTTTATTGTTCCACCCGAGCAGTAAGGTTACGCACAGTTGCTCAATCTCATCACTCTCCTTCAATTTTCCATCGATAATATTCTGGAAACAATTCTGATGGAAGTGGGTATTAGTGGTGTAGGTCTGTCATTTGAAAGAAGGCTTCGTTCTTTAGTATTTGCATTATATTGTCTTACTGTGCAATGATACTCAACCTATCCATATCTCAGTCACTTTGCAACCAATTTCTGTAGGTATGACATGCACTTTGCTCCTTCTAACTCCATAGTACTTCTGCAGGACTTGAAGGGACCTGTGTTGTCACTCACTCTCTGTGATCTGCCAGAAGTAGTCAAGGCCGTGCGTCAGGATAGTTGTGAGTGCTAATGGTGATGTGAACTATGAGACTAACCAACATATAGTGAGAGCCAGATAGACTTGAGCCAATCTGGACAATCTTTGGGACTATCGTGATGTTGGTCTGGGTGTAAACTGTCGAGTTTGCAACGCCGCGTTAGTCCAGTCAATCAGTCAATTAGAGCGGTTTCGCCCAGTGCCTGCGAAACCTGGCATCGAGGTGAGGACATTCAACAACTCTCTGTTCTATTACCATTGTCTCCGAATGATTGCTGACATTCAGTGGCAACACTTATCAGCTACTCTGAGCTTTGACAATGTGTGTTCAGTTTCAGTGAAGACAAATTAATTAACGTTACCAACTCGAAACACCGGCTTCGGTGAGCTGGACATGTGTCACATAAGTCATTCAAGTGGCTTCCACATCACGCAATAGTTAGCTGTACTGAGATGGAGTGGAAAATATGGAAGTGATCAGTTTATAATATAGTAACGTGGTGTGATGGGAAAGTGAGCTATATAGGACTGTCATCAGTCGGTCCGACACGATCGCCTGGACAGAGTTGTAGAGATGGGGCAACTCACTGGCTTGATATTTTATCAGATATAGTTCAGAATAGAAAGTGGTGCAGATCTTGCAGTAATTTCCTCTTATATTCGTCATAAAAAATGTACAACTCGTACAACCAGGAGAATTTCTGAATCTGTTTAATTTATTCAGAACTATTATGATGGTCATTAGGAACGTTGTCTACGTTAAAAATAGTAAGAGTTTAATCTGTAGATGAATTTGTTGATCACTACATAAATTCGCTTCTAATATTGATGTGTTGTTTTGTTTACAAACATGATTTTTTGAAGTCATTTTAGTATGCTATCGAGAAACTTGATGTCGTTTATTCTCTCTTTTAGCGAGATGAAGATATGGATGAAGATGAAGATTTAGCTCAAGCTGAAACGTATGCTGACTATATTCCGTCAAAACGTAAGAGAATTCATGTTTTCACAATATACATGCACTCATAATTAGTGCACTGCACATTAATTGTGTTGTGCTTCTAGGTGGGTGCAACATCAATGCTTGTGTATGCTACAGGACCAGCATTAGGAGAATTAATGCTTGGTAGTTTTGCATACTATAGTCTTCGATTAGTGTAAATATTTTTGGAATAAGCCATATGATCTGATCATGTTCGTACTTCATGAGTTTGACTAAGTAATAAAGCGATCAAATTGACTAAGCGTCTATACAGTTGTTGGTAGGACATTTACTTTGTATTAGTGTATATATATTTTCATCAAATACACTGACCTGAATAAGATGATCGTTAAGATGACTACTATCAAATTGTCCTAGTCATTATTAGCCTTATAAAATAGTTGGTTACATCTTCTTAACAAAACTTGAGAATCATTTCGACTGACTAAAAATGTTAAAAGTGACTTTATTTCCTAATGGAGTTGGGAAAAATGAGATGAAGGAGCAAAACATAATGTTCGTCTTTCAAACTTCTTCAGAGTTGCGGTCCAACATTAGTGGGTTTACTAAGGAAGGTATCAATGGGTATAGAGGTCCGAAATGGGTTCCGTCGACACACCTTATCTATTAGGCGCTCTTGTTTAGAAGAAATAACAAAATTTTTTTGATAGCCACAGACAAATCAGTTTAGCTAACATTCACTTAAATACCAAAATCTAGTCATCTGATACACAAATAGAGGAAAGCAAACCTAAGGAAATAAGGTGTCTCAAAATTATATTCGACCCACTAGTTCAATATTTTACGTTAAATCCTATTAGCTGTTTTTCTGCACTGGCTATTTTCCTTAGTCTGATGACTTAATTGAAAAAGCTTATTGAAATAACTAACCTCAAAGGGGTTGCTGAAAAAAGTATTATATTGATTATGGAAAATGTATGACTCGAGTCTTGGTACATAAACCTATTTTCGGTTACTAAGTAACATTCGTAATTGTAACTAAATTTTTATTACAGCTTTCATAGGAGTTGAAGTCCTGATGTTATGTCTTGACTTGACAGTGGTATACAAATAAGGAACTTGCTACTCAAACTAAGATTTCAAGCGTTTTGTCTGGTGACACAAGTTTATTTGTTTTCAATCTTTCACTCTAAACTTGTAACCCTTTGTTACAACCTATTAACTTGTGTTCTCCGCTTTGTTGGTAAAAAATCTTTTTGTACCATCTCCACAATTAAAAAATAACAAGTCTTGCTGAACCTGAAAGTTTCGTATCGGGATTTCGATAATTCGTAGTGAAGCATTATATATATATATTTACATATAAGGTGGTGGGGCAACCTTAGTAGATACAGTCCCATGATAGACGGTGACCAACAACAGGTTCATACGCCTTTTGTTCTCTCAGGATCCCAGAGCCCATATACATCAGGGTTTTCCAAATTCCCTATGTGGATCTCCTGTGTCCACCAACCCGGTTAATGCGCCGGACATTCGCCTTCCGCTCTCAATTTCGTAAACAGCACCCTCGCCACGAGAAGGCATCGAGCAGGACTTGCTTGATAGTGGCTGTATACATTTGTCCATGGGAGAGCATTTCGAGAGGGAGAGCGGACTTAATAGTTATACAATAAGATTATGTCAGTCCGTAAATAGATCCTAGCAATTACCATTCTCTTATTCTTCGTTCGGATATAACAATTACTCGACATTTACTCTTACAATTTATCAATTCTTGCGTATTATCTATTAGTCTTTACTGTTCTTCATTATTCTTTTGCGAAAAGACTGCTATATTCTGGAAAGTGCTGAAGACAGCAGTGGTGAATAATATGGTTGTGGACAGACATCTAAAGCCCTGTAAACTTCTGACAGGTGTTATCTTATTAAATGCTAACTATTCACTTCATTCATATATTTCTCCTTGTATTGTGTACGCTACCTATGTTGGCAAATATAAGTAGTATGTAACATCAGTCAGAGGTGGAATGCCTGGCTGCAGAAGATTGGGAAGATAAAATTGAAGAGTCAGTCAGTCAGTACCAACGTAGAACTTCGTACGTACGTACATCAGTTCGAGTTGCCACACCACCTTAGCACAGAGATGCAGTTGTCCATTCAAACCCCGTAGTGCTGGATGTAGTAAGATTATAAGCTGTAATCACAAAAATTAAGGTTTGAAGATGTTATTCAAGAAGTATAATCCAGTGAAATAAGTTTGGAAAGAGAAAAAAGAAAGGGACATGAAGAAATCAGAAGATTAGAATTTGGGAGAACACAAAGAGTGGATGCACCTGCACCGTTGCAAACGATTTTGAGCCATGTCATTCAAGGTCTCTAACCATCGGTTGCTTTCATCTCGCGGATCCCAACCAGGTAGTCTTCACCTACCAACATGACTCAGTCCACTTGTCAGTGACTTCATGAACTTGTGCCATGTTTTGGTCTGGCCGCCCCTAGCTTTCTTCCAACCTACTCATATACCACTGAACATAGCACGTCGAGGTAGTCGGTCATTGGGGATACGTAACACGTGTCCCAGCCATCTCAACTGATGAAGTTTCATCACTTCATCAATTGATTTGCCATCCTTACCTAGTACCAATTTCCTAACAACTGCGTTACTTACTTTTTAGTCCCAGGATATACGAGCAATGTTTCGAAGACACCTATGATCGAATACTAGTAGCCTATGAATATCCTCTACTCTTACCGGCCATGTTTCACTGCCATAAAGTAGGCTGGAACGAACTGCTGCACAGTAAACACATCCTTTGTTTGATAGACGGATATCTCGCCTACGCCATAAATGACGCAAGTTGACGAAAACTAGTCGAGCCTTCTGTATCCGTGCTGAGATTTCGTCACACACCAGACCACAAGGGCTGATGAGACTTCGAAGATAAGTGAAGTGGTCGACACGCTCAACTACTTCACTCCCTATCACTAGTTCGGGTGTGGATGTAACCCAATCCTGAAGCAACATTTTGCATTTCGAGGGAGAGAATCGCATCCCGAACATGCTTGCATTGTTGCTTAGAGTGGTCAGAAGACTCTGCATTTTGTCAGCGTCTTCACCAAATAAATCTGTCATCAGCATATTCTAAGTCAACAAGTGAACCTCCCAGTAGAAGTTCAACCCCTGGAAATCTAGACGAGGAAAGTGTTATCTCTAAAAGTACGTCGACGACAAAGTTGAACAAGAATGGAGAGAGTGGACAGCCCTGACGAACACCACTTGAGGTAATCAATTCTGATGACAGTTCGCCATAAGCTCTCACTCGACCAGTTGTGTTCGAGTAGAGCCTTCATAAGGTTAATGTACTTCTTTGGTACTCCTTTCAGTGACAAACACTGCCATAGAACCTCACGATCAACAGAGTCAAATGCCGCCTTAAGGTCGAGAAATACTATTATTGTGGGGCGTCTGAATGTGTGTCTGTGTTCTAGAACCTGGCTTAGTGTGAATATCTGATCTATACAACCACGTCCAGGTCAAAAACCGGCCTGGTTTCCTCTAATCTGCTCTTCACGAGCTTTGATTAGGCGTCGAAGTATTATTGAAGCTAATATTTTAGACACTATATTAGTCAAACTGATTCCTCTGTGATTGTCACAAGAGGACTTTTGTCCTTTCTTATAGACTGGCACAATCAGTGATTGAGTCCAGTCAGATGGGATTACGTCCAGTTCCCAAATTCTACCTATGACCTCGGTTAATCTCATTGCTAATACTGGACCGCCATCCCTATCTTTCCGAGTCCTTATTGTTCCGTTTAGTCGGACAGCGCACATACGACTGTCTACTGGTATCCACTCTAAGAGAGCTAGTTCTGCCCTAGGACTCAATGTTATGCCTACGCCGGCGAGGCCACGGGAAGCAGAATCAGGGCTTCCAGATACACGAAGTGTGAATCGAGTCGGTTCTTTATTTTGGCGTGGTGAGGTCAGATGAATGACGCTACTCGGATCCTGTATGCGCGTTTCGGAGACGCAGCACACATTGATGGCACGAGATTCTAAAGTCCTAGCTAAGGAAGCCTGCTGTCCTATTTGGCACAGTGCTTGGACGTTAAAAGCTCCTACGTGTGGTTTAGAGCGTGGTTTCAGGAGACCAGGAATAGCGTTCCGCGTACTCGAACGGTTTGCCCTAGCGGTGCGAGGTGATAAAGAGACATGAGGAGGGTTAGTCATGGACATAAGAGAAGTATTAGGTGTAGGAAGGATTTGAATGTGACCAACTTGGTCTCGTGTGCTGTTACGGGTATGAGGGCTGATATCACTTCCCGGCTGCCAACACCATGGAAAGGTATTTCTTGAGGAACCTGAAAAGGAAATTGGATTAGTGTTGGTCTTAACGACCTGGGAGCATGACCGCAGAGCCCAAAGGACAAGTGCTTGATGCCGGTCGCGCACGGCCTTTTTGTGGAAGGTTTTTGGCGTGTTAGCTCCGTTCTTCAAAGGGCCTTACCGCCGGAGACGGAAATCCGTGAGGTAAGGTGAGGTGTGACATTTTTAGGCTCGACCTTTTCTAACCCCACCCCTCCTTGTGGGAAGGCAACATCGCTGCAGACGCTGGTTGTCTGAGGGAAACACTTTACTGCTGTCACTAACCTCTACAGTCAGCAGTACGACTTCGCCCTCAGACCTTGAGTTGCTGCTTTTAGTCTTACCGTTCTCCAATCGACCTGCCTGGCATGGTAGAACCTACAGGAACATGGGTTCCAGCCAATATAGCTCGGTTCGGTCGTCACGATAGGCAAGCCCGACCACCGCGTCAAGGTAGCAGCTTCGGTCGGGAGAAAAACAGGAATATATACAGAGAGTAATTGTGACAACATCTGGAATGAAAGAACGATGAAGTTTGTAAGAAACAATCAATCGAAGATGCCCAAATGATGTATTTAATGTATGGTTTTAATATTTTACCAAGACATTAATGTTGCATTAAACAATAAATTGTTCTTTCCCATCTGAGTTCTTGTTCACTACAGTATATCTTCTGGTAGAACGAGACGTCAATACATTAGAATCCCCGCGCGCAAGCAATGGTATAAAAGCTATACAACACCTTATCTAGCAAATTTACTATTTAATAAACAGGTTGTTAGAGTTGTCCTAGTCAATAACTTGTATTCTTTAGAATGTTTCTAACTGAAAAATGTTGTACAGATTAAAATCTTAAAATAGGCATTTCATTTAATTTCACGTAGCTTATCTACTTAACTATTTTATATATGTATGCAGTTATCAGTTTCTTTCACCTTGTTTCCTTTTCCATTGATAACAGTAAGAAATAACTTCATATGTTCTTAAAATATAATGACGTTCTTGTTATTTCAGTGAATTATGGACAAAAGCATCCAGATCCTGTTGTCGAGTCGAGTTCCTTGTCCAGTGTCTCTCCTCCAGATATTCATTATCGCCTGATTCTTCCGGATGAAGTTATCGAGCGGGCGTATCTTTCAGCTTTGCAACTGGAAGCAGTGGTGTACGCCTGTCAACGTCATGAGTGTATCTTACCGAATGGTCAACGTGCTGGGTTTTTAATTGGTACGTTATTTGTTGTTTGCGTAGTATTTATCATACATTTTCGTCGCTTAACAAAACTGTAAGCTGTGGTACTAGTTAACCAAACGTGAATTTATGTACTCATTTTATCCATTGAACTTGGTGCAATGGGTCTCAAATTTTTTAAAGAATTGTTCAATTTTTTGTGAAGCTATTCATCCAGGATAACTAACCTTATGAATCGAATCTACCCGAGTCAAAGGACTAATCTAATGCTAATTAACATATGTTGTTATGTTCAACTCTTTTGGTCGTGAGGTTCTGTGTGTTTGTCATTCAAAGGCGTACCAATGAAGTGCATTGACTCTGTTAAGGCTTTCTACTCGAGCGGTTCTGATTAAGTCAGAGCTCAAGGCTAACTGGTATCAGAATTAATAACTTCACGTGTCGTTCATCAGGACTTTCATTTTCCCAGTTTTTATTTAACTTTGTCATAGAAAGGCTTTTAGCGACAGAACTTTCATCTTTTGATTTCAGGGGTCTATCTTGCATCAGGGGATCACATGATAACTTGGAATAGGCAGATTATATACTTCTGCTTGATGAAGACGCTGACAAAATACAGTCTTTTGACCACTTTAATAAGCAATTCAGGCATGCTTGGGATGCGATTCTCTCTTTAAATGCAAAGTGTTATTTCAAGAGTAGTCTGCGTCAGTGCCTGAATTAATGATAAGGAGTGGAAAAGTCGATCGTACAGACCACTTCATTTACCTTAAGGTTGTCATCAGTGCTGATGTTCTGGTGTCTGATAAAACCTCAGCACGGATTCAGGAAATCCGATTGAAGTATGCCAACTTGAGTCACTCGTGGTTTGAGTGAGATGTCAGTCTGCCAACCAAAAGCGTGTGTACTGCAAAGAAGTCTGGTTTACCTTGTGGCTGTGGAACATTCTACGAAATTAGAAGACCTACATAGGCTACATGTTTTTGGTCATGTGTTTTCGAAGCATTGCTTGGGTCCCACGTAACTGTCGAGTGAGCAATGTTGAGGTAAGAGATAGGATACTAAGTAAAAATAGTGGGATTGTAAGTATTCATCGACTAAGGTGGTTAGGACGCACTTTTTGTATGCCTGGTAATTGCTTCAAATCGCAATGCTTGATATTACAGAAGTAGTTTGGGAGAAAGCTAGGAAACGCCAAACCGAAACTTGGCATCAATCCATGAGATCACTTACTTGATATGAGCCATGTGGATGGATACAGATTACCTAGTTGGAGTCCGTGTGATAACTGCGATCAGCAGTTGGAGACGGTAAAGTGGTTCTAAATCATTCATACTTGCGCAGATGCATTCTTTATTTCGCTTTAGATGTTAAGTCCCATTATTCCTCCATACATAATTCTTCCGTTTTTAGGAATCGTATTCTTAATATTCAGTCTTTCTCATTATCGTCGCTATCACATTATTACCATATCTTTTACTAATCACGTCAATTTTTTCTACCTCATTTTGCAATATTGTTGTGAAAACTTTGGTCAGTGCACATTTCTGCTAGGTTCTTTGTTGATCATGACTAACAGAGTAGTTTAGCAGTTAATATTTGTCTGTCAACTATAATTTTCAGAAAAGGTTTTTAGTTGTGCAGGTGTAATTAATCTTTTACTGTTAAATCTTACTAACTTTGTGTGCCTTGACTAAAAACCCTTGTCACTAATTTAGTAGCTTACTCAAGTATCTAACTATTGTAGCACGCGATTATTACATTTTAACGGTACAATCGGATAACAACTTCATTTTTATGAATACTTTTTAAATGATATTGAAGAGGTTAAGTTGTAGGTTCTTGGATAATACCTAGTTGTTTACCTCATAACAAGGGAACCAAATAATTTGGCTATAGTTTAAGTCATGGTCAGACTCATGATTTCTGAATATTCAGCTATTTGGAATGGTTATTACTCAATGACATTTTACGGGTTGTAAATGTTACAAATATTCAATGTAAAAATGAATACCGGTGAATCAAAATATTACTGTGTTCATATTTTTCAAGAATGACAACAGCTTCATAGTCATTGTAAGCTCGCTATAGGAAGCAAAACAAGTATTTCCCTAAACACTTTATAGTCCAGTCATCTTCCAATAGTTGCAAAATTTTTAGGCATTATGAGGTTACTTCATTTTAGTCGAGAATATACACATTTCCATGCAGGTAAGAAAACATTTTTGTTACATGTGCATAACTGTGTTTTCAGAAATTCTCTCCTTTTCATATCGTTTTCATGAATAACATTATGTAACATTGTTACTATAAGTCTGAAGCTCATGATTAAACAGTGGTATATCAATGAGCTACTGTATTGTTTCAATTATTAAGAAAATGTACTGTTATGAGTCGGTGTAGGGCCAGATGCGTAGTATTGCAACGTAAAGTGTTGTACTTTTGTATGACTTTTTAGATTATGTTCATTTTTCTGTTATTGACTTGTGAACAAGCGCTTCTTAGGCGCTAGACTTGCTTTTGATTATTCATCAAGTTTATGGTTGCCGTTTTTCTGCTGACAATACAAATCGACTTGTGACAATAAAAACACCATAGTGTCCTTCGATATTTACTTTTGTTTATTCATATTATTTGATGATAATGCGGGTGAATTATTACAATATTTCTTAAAGTGGTGCATTTGCTTGCTCCACCACAGGCGACGGGGCAGGTGTGGGAAAAGGTCGCACCATTGCCGGAATATTATATGAAAATTATTTACGACATCGTAAGAAGGCCATTTGGCTCTCAGTTTCAAATGATTTGAAGGTCGATGCTGAACGCGATCTGCGTGACGTGGGCTTGGGAAAGATCAAGGTTCATTCCTTAAACAAGGTGAGACTGTTCGCCTTGGACTACATAAGGTCCATTCATTATTGATCCTGATGTTTATTTAACTGCTTTGTATTTCAGCCGTTGTTCTTATTCACCTATAAAGTCTAGTCGTATTAGGCGAAGTATGTTTTTTTTTCAAAACAGATTTTCAATTATAATCTCCGTCGTTATAGCTATTCCGTAGGTAACTGGCTGTCTGATTGTTTTATGTGCAATCTACCTCACTGGAATTCGACTCATAAATAAAACCAATAAAATATATAAACATAAAGTAAGATTTCATTTAGCATTATATATTTTTTATGGGCACTTGAAAAAGATGATACAGACTTCATAGATGACATCTAATTATCATTTTTGAAGGCATCCATGTACTCAACATCTTCAAGTATATTTAACAACAACAACAACAAAGAAAAAACAGATTTGTTTGTGTTCACAAACGGTGTGTACTAACTTTCGTGATGACATTTTAGAATAATAATTTCACTGGTTATTTTCTCATAATCACATAAGTAGTTATAATGTTGTTTCCATATGCTTGTAACAACAGTCTTGTATATAAATAGAAATTATCACATTTAATCCGTTTTCAATATCATTTCAATGTAGTTTCTTCATCATAAAATTCAATGATTACCTTAGAGATATAGTTTTTGTTTTTTCTGAATTCATTAGTAACATCATTAACAATATTCCACACTTCTATGTTTCTTTCTTCTTTTTTTTCTTTTTTTCTTCTTCTTCTTCCACTGTTCAGTTTAAATATGCTCGTATTTCTGGTAAAACTAATGGACGTGTAAAAAAAGGTGTTATTTTTTCTACTTATTCTTCATTGATTGGTGAAAGTCAAGGCAGTGCAAAAGCAAAATATAAAACTCGATTAAAACAACTTGTTCATTGGTGTGGGAAAAAATTCGATGGTGTTGTAAGTCAGTAATTAGTATTTTTTTTCTCTTTTCATTTTTTCTAATGTATATTGTTGAGCTAGTTTTTTTTTTCTTCTTCACTTTGACCTTTATTATCCTCATAAATACAATTGGATTATCTTTGTTACTATGTGACTTGATTGAAACAAGATTGAAATTTAGTTGACAAATCTCATTCCATCTTTTCATATTGGATGTTACTTGTTTTTTTCATATTTTACTAATTGTTACGGGGAAAATGATATGGATCTAGGAGGGGGATCTATGCTAAGCGCTTTTATATGTTACTATGGAGGGTTAATATTCTTGGTATTTAGAGTAAGAGTGATTATGCTGACTGTATTATTCTTCATTTGCTTACAAACGTTGACGTTTAACTGATATCAAACGATTTAAACAACTGGTTGATCTTTTAAAATTTTTCCTAACTTCAGTATTCACCTTATTTTTTAAAGATAGCTGTCTGAAATAAACTTTCATCGATATTTCTATGAATGAAACAATTTACTGAAAACTTTCTAACCAGTCGTACAATCTCATAGTCATCGCCAGTTTGTATTAACTGTACTGTAAAATGTTTTGCTAAGTTTTAACTTATCTAGTTATTTAAAATAAAGTTTTTAGCTAGATATTGATTGGTTTAAAGCATGTTTCATTTAGGATTATGTTGAAGCACGCTGCTTACCCCATTTTTAACGAACCAGCGCCATTGGGTAAATAGGGAAGACTTTAGAATCTTCTTGTGTAAAAATTAAAAAATGTAATAACGTTTTATTCACTGTAATTCACATTTATTCAACTTAGTTTATTTTGGAATATGATTATCCTACTGTCCAAGACGTATCCAGATTTGGTGAGAAGTTGAATGGAGTGATGTCCGTAAAATACTTGGCATTGGATTTATCGATTTAGATAACAAGGACTTAACAAAAGTATAGTATATACAGTTGCTAAATAACGTAAGAAATATTTCAGCAAAGATGGATGGTGGCTAGCAGTGGAATGCAGGACACGCGTTTCGTCCTATTTGGGACTCGTCAGCTGGGTGTACCTGCTTAAAAAGCTTGTGACTTAAGGCTATATTGAGGCAGTCTGCACGGGATGCATATATGCCAACATGAGACTGATTGATTACAGTCCTAAATAACAATGGAAAGATACAAGTAAAACAACACCAAGTGAATTTAACGTAGGAAATTCTTTGAAATATGAACATGTTTTGGAAAAGTGCTCATATGTAAAGATTTTCTGATCTTTAAGCCATCATTCTTTGTCTAGTCAACTAGTCATTTGATTCTGGTAGCATTCCAAATCCTTTCATAGGCAGGCGGTTACAATTTCTAGTGATCATACAAAATATTGTACCTTTATAGGATTTCCTGTGCGAAATATATATATATATATATATATATATACTAACACCTTTTTCTTTTCATCGTTCTAAATTCAATGTTACTTTCCAATAATAATTTTACTTTCCACACAGATTGTGTTTGACGAATGTCATCGAGCTAAAAATTTAACTCCTAGTGGTTCTCAAAAACCTACAAAAACCGGTCTAACTGTACTTGAATTACAAAACAAACTACCAAATGCTCGGATTGTTTATGCTAGTGCAACAGGTGCCACTGAACCCCGTAACATGGCTTATATGACGCGTCTGGGACTATGGGGTGATGGGACGCCATTTAAAACATTTAATTCATTCATCCAAACACTTGAGCGACGGGGTGTTGGTGCTATGGAATTGGTTGCTATGGACATGAAACTACGTGGAATGTATATTGCACGGCAGCTCAGTTTTCATGGTGTGAATTTCAGCATTAATGAAGTACTAATAGAGAACGTCAAATTAGGCCATGAAAGCTTTATTCATGTATATAATCAGTCAACTGACCTGGTTAGTGTTCCTTAACTCTATCATCTCATCACGATCAGTATACTCATGAATAATTCGTAATTTGTTTAACAAATATATATTAATATTCTGTTTGACATATGGCGTACATTAATCACTATAGATGTTATGTTCGGTCGTTTATTTTTTAGAAGCACGTGTAACTGACCAGTTTAAGTAGCAACCCCGAAAGTGGAACACATTTCTTTAGGTGGGTGTTTTAGTATTCCGGCTAAGCGAACAGATAATGGTGACCGTCTGGTGCAACTGTTCTCAGACAAACATAAGAAAAAACATCGTCTAACATGGCAATCCCCTGCACCAAACCAACGATGGTCTCAAATAGACTGCATTGGCATCATTCACCATTTGAAAGACTCAATAGAAGACTGCCACTCGTTTTGGAATACATGTCTAGACTCTGATCATGCTCTAGTACGAGCACTCATTTGCTTGTGTCTCATTGGACGCAGAAAATTCACATTAAGAAAACCCACCTAAGTTGAACTCAGCGATGAGAAAACCAAAGATAAATTCCAGAAACAACTGAAGTCACAATTAGGCGATTCTGAAAACGAGGCTGACCCAGATGTTGCTTGCGATAATATACAGACAGCTATGGAAACAGCAGTGACATTTAATAGTGATTTAGGCCAAAGGGTTATGAAAAACCAGTGGATTCCTACTAAGTCTACTGCACTAATTAACTCTCGTAAACTAATCCCATTAGGCTTTGAATACGATAAAGTGCGTAAACAAATCAGATCCAGGATAACTAAAAGTCTAAGGAACGATCGTGAGCAGTGGTGGTCAACGGAATCAAAAGAGATGGAAAAGTCAACGGCTGTGGGTAACACCAGACAGCTTTTGAGACTAATAAAAGAAACTCGAATTAAAATGTCAAATGTGTCTCAGAAAAAGACCACACTCTTATATGTCCCCAGCCCAGACGTTCCGAACGATGGGCGAAACTTTACGGAGCATTCCAGCTGACCGTCAGCTACCCACCATTTCCAAATAGCCTGAGTGAAATATTGAAATAGTCCCCTTCTGACTCTAATTAAAGTTCATAAGTCGATAGCTAATCCATAGGTATTAGCTCCATAGGTTTTTAAGGATGGTGGCCTAGTTTTAGCGATAAGGTTAACTAATATTTTACCTAAAATATGGGAGTTGGACGTAATCCCATCTGACTGGTCTCAATGACTTATTGTCCCAATGTATAAGAAGGGTTCAAGATCACCCAGTGACAACCATAGTGGGATTAATTTAACTAACATAGCATCTAAAATACTAACCTCAATAATTATCGGGCGCTTTACAAAGACTCACGGACTGGAAACAAGCGAAAATCAGGCTGGCTTCAGACCTGGTCGTGGCTGCATCGACCACATATACACCATTCGTCAGGTTCTAGAACACAGGCATACTTATTGACGTCCGACAATGGTGGCCTTTCTTGACTTAAAAGCAGCATTTGACTCGGCAGACTGCGAGATTCTGTGGCAGTATCCATCATTGAGTGGTGTACCTCAGAAGTACACAAACGTTGTGAAGGCTCTTTACTCAAACACTACCAGTCGAGTCAGAGTTTATTGCAAACTGCCATCTAAATTTGCAACCTCAAGTGGTGTCCGGCAAGTCTGACCACTATCTCCATTTTTATTTAATTTCATCATTGACCTACTTCTGGAAATCCATTCATCACTAAACTTACCACAGTCACGTAAACATTAGGTACGTCGATCTACAAATGTTATAACTTGTTTTTTGTTTAGTTTATTGTTAATAATGCTATTGTATATTGTTACGTTTTTTTCTCATAAATTATTTAGTGGGTGTATGCATATCGCTTCTTCTCAGAAGCGTCGCGTTTATTAGATCTAAGTGATCGTTATCGTAAAACTATGTGGGGACAGTTTTGGTCTGCTCACCAACGATTTTTCAAGTATCTTTGCATTGCTGCCAAAGTGGAAAAATGTGTTGAAATTGCTAAAACAGCTGTTGATGAGGGTAAAGTAAGTGGGTATTTGTTTTCCTTCTTTGTTTGCTTAATTATGCTACCTAAATTAACTTAGAGTATTACTGGAATCTTACATGTTGTGTTTATTTTGAACTTGTTTGTGATCCAACGTTTATTGTTTATTTATTTTCGAAGAAAAAATAATTACCATCGTTAATGGAATGTTTTATTACTACTTCAAATTAAACGAGCCTGGATGACATGGCTCAAAATCTTTTACAATGACGCAGATACATCCACTCTTTGTGTTATCCCAAATTCTAATATTCTGAATTATTCATGTCCCTTTCTTTTTTCTCTTTGCAAATTTATTTCGCTGGATTATACTCTTTAAATAACATCTCCAAACCCTAATCTTCCGGATTACTGCTTACACTTTTACTACCTCTACTACAATGGGATTTGAATGGACAACTGCATCTCTGTGCTAATGTGGTGTGGCAACTCGAACTGATGTACGTACGTACGAAGTTCTACGTTGTTACTGACTGACTGGGGTATTGTGCTAAGATTTAATTCAACTGTATTTCTCAGATTTTAAGAGATGCGATATAAAGTGTGCTAAATACACAGCTGTTAAATTTTATATGATTAGCTGCTTTCTCATTATTATTCACCGTAGATGTCAAGTGTAAAAACAGTTCTGGCAGATCATCACAGAGAGTAAGTGACAACACAGGTCCTCATTACTGTCGAGGAGTTCACTTATTTGAACTTAGGTTCTACGACTTATTCGGTCTCTGAATCAATTTTTTATGTGCAATTAGAGACACACTACGCATTAGTTTTGTCCATACATATCAGGAATAATTCCCACGTGTTACTGTGGGAATGAAATAATGACTAAGCAACCAGTCATTGCCAGTGGCTGTTAGTAATTCATTTCCTTTATTATTTGATATTTTACGTTGAGTGTGTAATGTAATCGCTTATGTTTACCATTTTTAATGTAATCTGATTTGACTTTTGATCTGTTTTTTCTGTGACCCTTTGAGATACCGTAAGTGCTGATTATAAATCATATCTCTTTTTCTTTTATCAGTGTGTTGTCATTGGTCTTCAGTCTACTGGTGAGGCTAAAACTCTAGAACAAGTTGAAGAATATGGTTTAGATTTAGGTGAATTCGTCTCCACTGCTAAGTAAGTTAATCTAAACCTTGATTTCAATATATCCATAATACATTTTTCGGTAACTATCACTTCGTTATGTGATTTACATTTGGACTCTATTACATTTTCAAGCAATAAATATTATTTAGGTAATTATTTTTAGTTTATTTTCTAGGAACATTTTTGTAGGTATTGTTGTAGGCTGATGAAGTAGTGAAACTTCATCAGTTGAGATGGCTGGGACACGTGTTACGTATGCCCAATGACCGACTACTTCGACGTGCTATGTTCAGTGGTATATGAGTAGGTTGGAAGAAAGCTAGGGGCGGCCAAACCAAAACATGGCACAAGTCCATGAAGTCACTGACAAGTGGACTGAGTCATGTTGGTAGGTGTAGACTACCTGGTTGGTGACCGCGAGATGATAGCAACCTATGGTTAGAGACCCTGAATGACATGGCTCAAAATCGTTTGCAATGGCGCAGGTGCATCCACTCTTTGTGTTCTCCCAAATTCTAATCTTGTGAATTCTTCATGTCCCTTTCTTTTTTCTCTTTCCAAACTTATTTCACTGGATTATACTCTTTAAATAACATCTCCAAACCCTAATGTTTCCGATTACTGCTTATACTCTTGCTACCTCTACCACTACGGGGTTTGAATGGACAACTGCATCTCTGTGCTAAGGTGGTGTGGCAACTCGAACTGATGTGCGTACGTACGAAGTTCTACGTTGTTACTGACTGACTGACTAAAGTATATTACATCGTTACAAAGGGTATTTATGGAACAATAAAGGTAAAGTTAACAATGTCTCGCTTGATACTTCTAAAAATCTATGGTCTTTGTCAGAACTATGTAGCTTACTACACGCATAGAACCAATAAACCACTTAGTGTGAAACATGAAATATGTGGGTGATATTATCTATATTTTTAAATCAATGTTCATCATTGTTAAAATCATATTTATTTAAAATTCTTTTTCTTTACAGGGGCGTGTTCCAGTGTCTGGTTGAAAAGTATTTTCCAACACCAACAAATGTTGAGAATTTCTCTCTTCGAGGGGATAAACTAGCATCGGCGGGTGATCGCAGCTCTAATACAACTCTCAGTAGAGCAGGACGCGCAATAGCTGCTGGTCAAGGAAGTGGTCTTGGTTTGAAAGATATTTTGGGTGAAAAAATGCTTGCAAAGCTAGTTGCTGGTGGTAGTTTATCTGGATCGAAATTAAGTGATGATTATGAAAATTCCAGTAAAGTTGACGGTGTAGGATCTGATTCTGATGACGATGATGGTAATGAACATTCTGATGAGTCAGATGATGATGATTCTGATTTGAATAATGCTCAAAAAGCTAATGGCTGTAACCCATCAGATGGAAATTCATCATCTGATTATTACGATTCAGACCTGGAAGTGAATTCACCAAACAACAATTCCAGTCGAAATAGATCAAAAAAGTCAGATTCTTCTAAAAAGCAGTCTCATTCTGGTAAACGTAAACAAAAGTATAACCGAGCTGGTGGTTCACCGAATTGCTTGTCAGATGATTCGGACGAAGATTGGGATCCGGACGCATTATTTGACAGCTTTCTAGCTCGCAACATGACTCTGTCCAATTCGACCACTAACAGTGATATAACCAAGCGATTCGATGACAGCAAGCACTTTGGAGATGAAATTTGGGGTGATGAGTTGACTCGTAAATTATCACAACAGTATCTTATGGGTCGCGGTTCAGGTTCAGCTAATCAGTCGCTGATCGCTAACAATGAACTGAAGGTCTCTCCCGAAGAAGCTAAACGGCAATGTACTGAAATGCAAAGTTTACTTTTGCGTTTCATTGAAAAGCTTGGTCCAAAGTTACCTCCCAGCTCTCTTGATGAGTTGATTGACAAATTGGGTGGACCCTCACGGGTTGCTGAGATGACAGGTAGAAAGGGTCGTATGGTGATGGGGGATGATGGCCGCGTTTCTTATGAATCTCGTCGTGAAAGTGACGTCAATTTAGAACTACTTAATCTTACGGAAAAACAACGCTTCATGAATGGCGAGAAACTCATTGCTATTATCTCTGAGGCAGCCAGTAGTGGTATCTCTCTTCAGGCGGATCGAAGGGCATCTAATCAACGCCGACGTGTTCATATTACATTGGAACTTCCTTGGAGTGCAGATCGCGCAGTTCAGCAGTTCGGTCGTACACACCGATCCAACCAGGTTAGCGCTCCAAAATATATCTTCCTGATTTCCAATTTGGCTGGTGAGCAGCGTTTCGCTTCTACAGTTGCTAAACGTTTAGAGTCTCTTGGTGCTCTGACACATGGTGATAGACGAGCTACAGAAACTCGTGATTTGTCGCAGTTCAATCTGGATACTAAACTCGGACGAGAAGCTTTAGAGTTAGTATTACGTGCTTGTATTTGGGGCGATGAGGGCATAGTTGATCCTCCAAACGACTATATAACTGACACGCCTTTTGACGTCACTGTCGATCGGGACAATTTAAATGCTCAGTCTTTCTTTAATGATGTTAAAGCAAGTTTACAGGGTGTAGGTTTGGCTACTGGTCGATGTCGTGAAAAGGACAGTAATCAAATGTCTAAATTTTTGAACCGCATTTTAGGTATACGTGTTCATATTCAAAATGCACTCTTTCAATACTTTTCGGACACATTAGAAGAAGTTACCAGACGTGCTAAACGTGATAATCGTCTGGATCTCGGAATTTTGGATCTTGGTACTTCTGGTCAGAATTTGGAAATAACATGGACCAAAAGTTTTGATACATGGTTTTTATCAGAATCTACTCAAGTTCATTTACACAAAGTAACTGCTGAACGCGGATTACCATGGTCGGGTGCTATGGAAATATACACTCAGCATGATGGTGTAAATGACGGTTTTTATTTGCCCTCGGTTATTAGTAACAATAAAATTGTTATACCTGTTCTAGCTGTTTATGTGAAAACTCGTACTACGCGATCGACCAGTAAATCCGATTCGAAATTATATCGTATCTATCGACCAAATACTGGTATGCAGGCACGACCAATTGAACTCGAAAAGTTACAGGAACGATATACCCGCGTTTCTAATCCTTCAGATTGTCAAGAGCCATGGAGCCGGATATTTAAAGAAAGTGCTAGACGTTGCATTCATATGTTACTTCATGGGTTTTGTTCATCAACTATCCAAAGTCGAACATTATGTGAAGTCGGTTTACGAACGCGTAATTACTATGTTCTTAGCGGGTCAGTGTTAAATGTATGGGCTAGAATTGAACCTTTTCTTCAGCTGCGTTCAAATTCTACTCGTTGTATGCAAGTTGTACGTCTCAAGTCAAAGGATGGGAAACGTATTATTGGATCCCTTATCCCTCAAGAATGCGTCCAGGATGTTTTGGTTTGCTTGTCACTACCTCCTGAAGCAGAGCACATATCTTCTAGTGATAACTTGGATAAAAAGTGTGGTTTGCCTCACATGGAAGAATCTTCAGGAATTTCAAATAATTTTAATTTATCACCTCATATTCCGACCGTTCCTTGGCCTAGAGGTCAAACATTCAGTGTAAACCCAACTCAACAATCTAGATTATACAGTGGTCGTCCACCTTCATTTATAAATCAACGACCCAGTAATATTATACGAAAAAAGATCCCACCTCATAATCCTGGAAATACGTACCGTGGTTCACTGTTTACTCAGAGTTCATCTGAACAACGTCGTTTTGGCACACTACGAGAAACTTTAACCACTGATTTAAATTATATACCAAGTCATTCCAATGGTTATCTATCTACTACATTATCACAATCTCATGTATCCAATTCTTCTAAAGGTATGAGTCCAATGTACTCGAACACTTCTATACACAATTTTGGGTCTACTCGTTTAAATTCTAATACAAAAATGGGAAGCCGATTAAATGCTGCTCTATCATTACCATTACTTTCTGATAATCCTAATATTCAATATCAAACATCATGCAGTAGTAGTAGTAGTACTACTACTACTACTACTAGTAGTAGTAGTAGTAGTAATACTAATTATTCTTCCACATTAACTAATCGTATCAATGATATACCATTATCTAATATTTCATCTGTTAATAATAATAATAATAATACAATTATTCCTTCTAATTTCTCAACGAATACAATGAATAATGTTAAGAACCCTTCAAATAAAGTGACACGTTTCAAAATAAAATGGAAAGATGGTTAAAGAGTATATTCCATGATTATGATAGTCTTTCTATTATTACTTTGTAAAGTCAATCTCTATTTGTACTTTCTTACTTACCCTTTTAAGAGACAGAGAGAGAAAGAGAGAGAGAGAGAGTATATGATTATGATAATGAATTTATCATATAAAACTAAAGATTTTCTTTCTTTTTTCTTTTTTTTTCATCATTTAGTTTATTGAATTATTTTTCTACTAAACATTTCACTGGTGTCAATAATTAATTTTTAGATAATAATTTTGTGTAAAAAAAAGAGGGAAAAAAAGAAAAGAAAAAAAGGATTATTCCTTCTTTCATCACATGAATTCAATTGTCATGTGTGTTCTGTATAATGAATCAATCTATGATATAATCATATCTCCCTTCTTCTTCCTCTTCGTCGTCGTTTTCTTCTTATTTACCTACATACTTACGCCTGTTACTTTCAATAGAGTATAGTCAGTCAGTCCATTGACTAATATTCTTCAACCCTATTCATATTGTCCTGGATCATTTTTCTTGCTTCCTTCCTTATTCTATCCCAATAGTTGTTTATTTCTTTTTGTTCATAACAGTTTTATTTGTATATAGTCCATTTTTTTTCCTTATAAAAACAAGAAAAAGAAAAAAGGTTTGTCAAATGTGAAGATATTTGATGTTCTATTTTTTTGTTGTTGTTGCTGACTACCTCTTTGAAAAGACATGATAGTTACTGTATGTTTGAATTGTGAACAATCATTTCTTGCTTTCTTTCTTTCTTTCTTTCTTATCTTTTCAATCTTTGATTTCTCTTAGTGTATTATTGCATCTATCTGAATGAACTTTTGTTGTTCTTCTCTTTTCTATTCCTAACGAATTGAACTTAGTCGATATTCTGTGTATGGTACTTGTAGAAGATATAATCAATTTGTATTTGTTTCTTATTTCAGATGAATAAAAACAATAAATATCTTTCTATAATAGTTACAAATGAGTAATATTAGTTCTTGACGAATGTTCTTGACATTCTTTGTTATTTATTTATCAGTTGAAGTTAGACATTCACATCGTTGGATGCTGACTCAATGGTCTAGTGGTTAAGCGCGCGCGCGAGACTGGTAAATCCTGGGTTCGAATCTCGCAGGGTCATGGATGCGCACTGCTGAGGAGTCCCAAAATAGGACGAAAGGGTCGTCCAGGTTTTGTATGGTGGTCTAGCTTCAACTGACTGGTGATCTCAACCATTGAAATTACTATAATATCCACAAAACCCCTTCTGATATTTATTTGTTTATTTAAACATAAATCTTGGTACACGAAGGCACTGAATAGATATGCTCCACATAAATCATTCGACTTATGTGAGTGCTAGGATACTGCTTGGGTGCTCAAACAGAAGCAGGTAGTTTACTTAAGGGGCCAGATCCGGACCCTTCGACCTAAAGGTCTAATCCACAAGACAGTGGAGCGACGTTAGAAGATGTAGTCCCATAGTAGCCGGTGTCCAATAATTGGTTCATACGCCATTTGTCCCTTCACGGTCCTGTAGCCCATGTACACCATTGGTTTGGAATGAAGGTTTTCCAACTTCCCTAGGTGGATTCTCCGTGTTCACCAACCCAGTTATTTGCTATTCGTCCTCTCGGTTTCGTAAACAATACCCCCGTCACGAGAATGCAGTGAGTAGGATTTCTACGGCCGTGGTTGTATGCACGTGGCCATGTGAGATTATTTCGAGAGGGAGAGTTGACTTTCCCCACTCAGTCGTACCAGGGCATTTGTGGGCCATGTAGAACTAGTTTAAGTTTCTAAATGCGACGACTAAGGAAAACAAAATCAGTCATTTTTAGTAAAAATCTAAGTTCAGTAATTCTCACTTCATCTCATGTTAATTCTGTGTTTATCGCGCTCGTCAAATATTTTACTAGCTCATCTTTATCTTGTATCCTGGATTTGACTTTAACATTGCTTGCTGAGTTGTCTCAATGTGCACGAGCAACGCTTCGCAGACACCTGTGGTCGAATACTAGCAGCTAACAAATCTATTTGTGAAGGTCACTCTTTACTAAACAGATTTCTGAGTGGTAGATTCATCTTGCAGCTGGGGTGTATCTCGTTTATGGGCAAAGGTCAAATAATCTTTGAATCTACTAGGCCTGATGGGACTATAGGCGCTCGATCTGGCTCTATAACGAGTGACGATCAATGTACCATAATATTAGAATTTTACTCTTAATTCCGTATATTATACTTAGGCTAATCCAGTTTAGGCGACATTAGTAATAAGAATCCGAATACAATATATTGAGAAGATTCATTCCAAGCAAGGTGAGAAGTGAAACAGGAAAGGTAAATGTATCAGGTCTCCCTAGCTATGACGTGGCTTATAGCCATGAATGCTATAAGTGGGTATTTGGACATGTATGATTGTGCGCACACATCACTGACAGAATGACTTGGAAGATTAAAATAATTATCTGTTGAAGAGTGAGGATGGGTTGTGTTAAGCGTGTGACAATCCTAGTTGCTACGTGATACCCATGGTACATGAATTAACTGCTATCTGTCATTAGATCGGGCGTTGATCATGACTAGTTCTGCGGCCGAATTACACATTTAGAGTGCAGTTAAAGTTTGTTCTTCCTTGCTTGCGATCTGCTCTACTCTGGAAACATATCAAGTTAGCTTGCTTTTTTTGCAGTTAGTCATACTCAACTTGGAACCTGGTTCAAGTGAGCTCATGGGAGGCATACAATATCCAAACGTAGTCAACATGGTGAAGGCTAGAGATTTTGTGAAATAAATAAATTTATTGGTCTCTGTAACGTTTTTATATATAGTATTGGTAGGTGTTAAATCACATTATTACCGTCAAGTAACTGTAATTGTAGTTCGTTTATGATAAAGGGACGTCCAAAACAGATCAATTAGTCACCATGCTTAACTATCTCACTCTCTACCATTAGTCTATATGTTGATACCGAGTAGTTTTGGAGCACATTTCGTTTTAAAAGGAGAAAAACGTCACAAACTTGTAGAAATTGTTAACCAAGATAGTCAAAAGACTATATTTTGTTAGCACCGATTAGTCTGAAAGTTATATCTTTAAAAGAATATCCGTCACCATACTAAATAAATATAGTGACAAACAACTCTGACTAATGCAACATAAAGTTGATTGTCCACCATAAGCTTTCACCAGATCGATAGTCTTTGGAGGTGTAATTGTCGGTCTAAGCTACTTTCGTTCTTCATCGTGTTCTGATCCTGATAGCATATGTTTCTGAGCATTTATCAATTCAGTAAACTTTTTGAAGTCACGGGTAAATATTACGGCCTATTATTCAGATATTTGGAATATCATACCAAACTATTTCGGAGTCAATACTTTCATGACATAATTATTCTTTTCCTGAAGTACCTACTTGATCATTCTATCAAATCTAAGGGATTTATTTAATTATATACCTAAGTAAACGAAAGATAGCAGTCAAATTTTAGGTATTCTTTGCGTTAATCACCCTAATCTGTAGTATTGTCGAGGTAAAGTCAACTGAGTGTTCGTACTTGGTTGCTGTATACGTGCTTGGGAAATACAACACAGATTGGTGCTATGAGACGTTTCGCTGATCATGATCGTCGCTCTAACTGATCTGGTATTTAGATGTTGGATATTCCGGTATCAGAGCTTCAAGC